ACATGCCTGTGCATATGTGCACATCTACTGTATGCAGCAAGGTGAGCACACGCAGATGTGTGCCTGTGTAAATGTATGTGCCTTGATCCTTCACCTGCTCTATAGCTGTTACCTCCCTGACACCATTCTTAATATGTTCTTTCATATTTACACTCAATGCATGCATCTTTGGGAGGAGCATGCCCACCTTTGCTCGCCTAATCAACCTCTCAATCCGCGATTACCTCATTTTTTACACTCCCAAGTGGTCTGCTGTGGGCAAGGAAGGGATTAATATACCCACACCAACTGTATGAATGGGGCGCAGTCAAATCTTTTAGGCAACTCCATTAAGAGTTGCCTATTCTGCAAAGGTGGTCAGTTTGTTATACACAGTTTAGGCATGCTGCAGAGGCCCAATTTGGACTCTGCAATGTTCACCTTAGCAATTCAAGGCTCAAATGCATCCTACTCTGCTCCAACCACACAGGTCTAATCTCTACCTATAATTCCCTACTTATGGATCGACAGGCTCCATCACTCCTTAGTATGCAAAACAGATGGTTGGGTGACATCCCAGATCTTATCCTGGAAAACTGGCAGGATTTATTTAGATCGCACTCTAGTACAGTTATCTAGGTGAGAGATCTAGCTATGCTATCTTCATAGGGTATACTATACACCAACAGGCCTGTTTAAAACGAGAAAGAGACCCACCCCTATTTGTGATAAATGTGAATGAGACAGAGGTGATTTGGAGCTCTAATAGCATCTGCCCCTTCTGGTCACAGGTTACAGCATTTGTCGCAGACACCTTTGATCTTTCCAATGTCTGTTGCCCTAAGTGGTGCCTTCTTGGTATCTTTGAAGATCTGGAAGCCTATGCTGTAAACTACCACTTTCTCCACCTGTTGTCCTACTATGCCAGGAAAATGACTGCCCAACACTGGACGTATATAGAGGTCCTGCATCTTAGTTTATGAAAAAATAAGGCCTTGCCACTCTATAAATGAACATGTGAACCAAGGGGATGCCCCCAAAAGTTTACAAGATACAGGGTCCATGGCTTGATACTCAGAACACTAGAAATTCAATGCTGGCCTTGATCTCAGACCCCTTTTAGAGTAGTAAAGATCTTAAGATACTCTTATTTCTGGGCATATACTGTATGTTTCCTCAGCCACAGCCTTATTTCTTGGATCTCTTCTATCTTACATATTTTGCATATATAATTTACTCGGGTAACTAAATATGTATATGCTGTATTATCCAAGTAGAGTTATACCTGTTTGAGGTTTTGTACATGCAGGTGAGCTCCTACAATGATTAAGGATCTGTTTTTCTATAAGTTTTTTCTTTTCTTTTTTTCTCTGCACTTCAAAATTAGACCTTGTATCTGGGATGATGTTATGGGTTGGGTTCTGTCTGATGTTTACTGCATTGTCCTGCAAGGGTACATACTGTATCATAATGTACTCATTATGTATCACATATAAACTTTTTGCATCTTTTGTATGATTGTCACTTCATTATGCAAATGTACACGTCTCTATATTTGATATGTGTATTTTCAATAAACTCCAGTTTTAAAAAAAAATGTGTTTCATTTTATTTCAAAATGTTTAACAAGTTTCCAGGCAACATTAAATGCATTTTTTTCTATGGAAAAAGTAAAACATATTCACTTTGAGAACTAAAAGCACGAGAACTTTGAGAGGCCTTCTGCAAGTACTGAAGTGAGGGCATTTTCAACACTTTTGTTTTTCTATTGGCATACCCTTTTTTTTATTACAGGCACCCACTTATATGACGTTCATGTTCTTTGATAAATGCATAGATTGACTTATGAATATGCCATCTCTGGGTTTTTACACCCAAGTATTAGAACTCTGTATATTGAGGAACTAATATACAGTATCTTGCTTGTTGCACCATGTATTGCACCACAAATATACTGTATAATTCAAGAAGGGTTATCCAAGAATGGAGTACTTGGCATTGCAATTTTGCCTTTTGGAAGCTTTTCAACAATGGAAATGCAGTTAGGATGCTACAGAATTAGGTACTACAGTATATTTACAGGTAGTCTTTTCATATAATGAACACAAAATTAAGTATGAAAGTATGTAGTTGTGTTTCTTTTTTAAATTGTTTCATTTTGCTATGATTGATCAACAATTTGTATTGTCAGCCTACGTAAATGACCAAATTCTTCTTGCCTTTGATGGTTTCAGGCTACTGTGCACATTTGAGATGTATTTGCTAAGCATTTGCCATTATTGCTATGCATGGATGAAAAAAAATAATAGCACAAACTGATCTCAGACTGACCTTACTAAACCCATTTATTTAACTCCCAAAACAGTCACATTGAAGGCACATTGAAGTGCTAACTGTCACAGTTGCTTGTGCTCTCAACTTAACTGTCAATCCATCAAATGGATGGTGTCCTAACTGATCACATTTACAGCACCGTGGCAACTGCAAATCAAACAGAGGCTTAAATGGCAGCTTCCTTGGCTGTAAAGGATAGAATGGTTTAGTTCCACAATAAATCCCAACTTCTGTCAATTGTTGTTTTGGATAGTGCAGAAAGGATTAGAACACCTGTCTGTATTAAACACTATGAAGTTCAAATAAAATCTGCACTACTCACAGTACTAGACATTTTAATGATAGGTGCTCAAAGTGAATGCCATAGATCTTGCCATGCCAGAACTGAAAGCAAAGATGCAAAGCCAGCAGCACTCCAAATAGATGTGTTTCAAGTATTTATTGTGAATGACAGCTTCACATAAGGCATATGAAAGCAAAGTTTCCGGGTTTTCACAGGGTCTCTTTCTCAAGATGGTGGAATGTGTTTGTATGCTAGCCTTTTGCTATTTATTGACAAACATACCCGGATAACTACAAGTCAGCAGTAAATATAAATAATCGGCACACTCCACCATTCTTTTTCATGTCCAGCTGTTTAAAATTCCTTCTTTCCCTCTGAACACTGGTTTCTGACCATCCAATTTACTTTTTAAACGTGCTGATCCCTAGTCTCCCAATATATTGTTGATTTCCCCAGAAGCCGTGAAGGATCCCCACCCAAGTAAAGAAGATTGCCATGTTAAGTATGGGAACCATCTAAAACCCTTTCAATATATTTAAAATTAATTTAATGCTCATTGTTTTCAACTAAGCCTGATTATCTTTGCTTGTGGTTATTTTGTATTCTATTTAATTTCCTTTACATGCAACAGAAAACCTTGTCATTTATAGTACTTTTGTATACAGTAAAAAATAAAAATGTGCAGTAAAAGGTCAGAGATTAAGTTACCCCTTATCATATTTGTGACATGTATTCTAAAGTATCTTAGCAACTTTTCTGTGAAAATGTGGTGCCATGCAAACAGAGTCTGTAATTACATCAGTGTTTCCATGTAATTGGTGACCATCCAATCGCACTGAGAACTTTATTCTACGTGATAAGGGGAAAGAGTAAGCAATATCCTGATATTGTCTACAAACAGATTGTTAGTAAATTAGCCGACACACCTAGCCATACCAGGTAAATGTTGGACATATATCTTTTATGTCTCCAAATTCTGCAAACAAGCTTAAGAACATCCATTTTCACTCCATGTACAATGTTGGCAGTAGCAGTCTGTAATTCAGCTGCAGAGAAATCATTGTTGCAGCTGTTTGTCATTAAAGTTTATGATCTAGGGGAGGATTTTTGGAGATTTGTTTCAATGTTCGACTCTGAGGCCAAAAACCTATTTTGTTTCATCCGATGATTTGCTATGGTCAACTGACATATAATGAACATCAATATATTTTTTTTTAGTGTGAACGTTCAGGATTTATGTTAACCATCTTCCAGCCCTGTTAAGGGCATCCAATGTTTAACATACAGTTTACCTTTTTATATTCTTTAACCAAAACAGACCTTTCTTCATTTAATGCTGTGCATTTAAGCTGTAATTAATCTATGTAAAGGTATAACCACTATTTTAAATAAAATTGTGTTGACTGAATATTGCTTATTTTATACTGTGCTATTTTTAGATATCTGTAATACAGGTACTTTAAATGGCAATTTTATTATTCACTAAGTAGCTGAAGTTTCAGATCAGGCAGATAGTGAAAATGCTTTAACATGGTGCTACTGATCCCACACTGAATGTCTATGAAAATTATTTCCTACAATTGAACATCTATTGTGAGTGGCCTGTGATCCATAGGAATTGGGAGCAGTCCTTTCACTGTACAATAAGTCAGAAGCTGTCAATGTAGATTTCTAAGAGAGGTTTACAATTTAAATCATCAGATTTTCTTCAATGTGCAGCCTTAAAGGATCTCTGTCACAAATGTTCAAAAACTAGATTGCAACTGCCCTGTATAAGAAGATGTAAAAAAAGTGTAAAATAAGTCACAACTTAAAGTAGAACTATAGGCAAAACATTTTTTGGATAGAGTAAGGGATGGTTATAACCCCTGTCCTTTGGGGAGATTTCCCTTCATTTCCTGTCCTATAGCCAAAACAGAAAATGAGGGGAAATTCCTGCAAATTAAGGGAATTCTTTGGGGACCCCCCAGGTCACCAGAACTAGTGTCCCCATTGAAAAATGTCCACTCTATTACTTTTCTGGGGACAAGCTAAAATTTGGGGGTTTCTTTTACTTTCAATTTTGATGATAATGATAAACAGGACAAAGAGAGAGGCTGAATCTCCCTAATGGGAGCACAGACAGCAATAAAGACCTAAAGGTGTTCTAATCCATCTTAACTACCTGCCGACCGCAGATAGCCGAATGACGGTTGCACTGCGGCCGGCCAGTTCTGGGTGGACGCCATATGACGTCCTCCCAGAACGTGCTCTTCTGCGCGCCCCCGGGGGGCGCGCACCCGGCGATCTCCGTGATCTCTGTGTCCTACGGACACAGCTGATCACGTGACGTGGTAAAAGGCCAATCACAGCGGCCTTTTACCACCTGATCAGCCGTGTCCAATGACACGCTGATCACCGGGAAATGCAAATGCCGGTTCTCGGCTGCACTTTCCTCACGCTGTCAGAGCGGGAGGAAAGTGCTGCCGAAAACCGGCAGTTGTCAGAGCGGGGATCGGCACCGATCATCAGGATCACTGATCATCAGTGCCCTGATGATCTGTGCCCAGCAGTGCCACACACAAGTTCCGCCCACTTGTGTCCAGCAGTGCGCTCACCTGTGCCCAGCAATGCACCCACCTGTGCCCAGCAGTGCCACCCACCTGTGCCCACCCACCTGTGCCCAGCAGTGCCACCCTCCTGTGCCCACCCACCTGTGCCCAGTAGTGCCACCCACCTTGCCCACCCACCTGTGCCCACCAGTGCCACCCACCTGTGCCCACCAGTGCCACCCATCAGTGCAGCCCAGCAGTGCCGCCAGTCAGTGCCACCAGTCAGTGCCCAGCGGTTCTGCCAGTCAGTGCCGCCAGTCAGTGCCCAGCAGTGATGTCAGTGCCACCTATCAGTGCTGTCTATCAGTACCCATTATCAGTGTCACCTATCAGTGCCGCATATCAGTGCCACCTATCCGTGACACCTCATTAGTGCTGCCTATCAGTGCCGCCTATCAGTGCCCTTAAGTGCCCTTCAGTGCTGCCTATCAGTGCCCATCAGTGCTGCCTATCAGTGCCCATCAGTGCTGCCTCATCAACGCACATCAGTGAAGGAGCAAAATTACCTGTTTGAAAAATTTTATAATAGAAACAAAGAAACTTTTTTTTTTTAAATTTTTTTGCAATTTTTTTTTGCTTATAGCACAAAAAGTAAAGTGCCCAGCAGCGATTAAATACCACCAAAAGAAAGCTCTATTTGTGAGAAAAAAAAAATGATAAAAATTTCATATGGGTACAATCTTGCATGACCGCGCAATTGTCATTCAAAGTGCGACAGCGCTGAAAGCTGAAAATTGGCCTGGTACATAAGGGGGTATAAGTGCCCGCTAGGCAAGTGGTTAACTCTGTCCAAATTAAAAAAAAAAAAAAACGTTTTTCCTTTAAGTATACTTTAACTCACTGGAAGAGCTATGGGAGCCCCTAGTATTCAACACTTCTGGGTGTGTGAGATACCTGGTTCCACACTAGGTCCTGCATCAATACAATCAATGACCTCAGTAGCTACAGGCACTGTGGAGTAGTTTGTCATCAAATATTGCCAGAGAAGCACTGAAGTCATCCAAATCAGGTCATATAGTCAGCAGACATATAATTAGCCTGATAGAATGCTCATGAAATCCTAGCACCCTTTTTTACACAGGATTGATAGCTGTCAGTGAGCAATTCAGACAAATGATTAATGTTAAAAGCAAAGCTCAGTAAACATAGAAACCCATATTACTAGAGTAGGGTTTTGCAACCTCTTTGCCTTGAAGGAACCCTTGGCAAAATGTCTGAGATATCGGGGAATCCCTGAAATAATGTTCACATCTACAGCTCCCAGAACATTAGTGTTATTGGTGAGCTGTTAATATAACAAATATTTTTTCGAAATAGCTTTAGGCTGCATGCACACTAGCATTTTTTAAGCTCCTAGAAGCTGTTATTAGCATTTTTTTCTGCTCCTAGAAGCTAAATAGTATTATCCTATGTGTCCATGCACACTATTTTAGGCAAGTGTTTTTCAAGCTTCAGCGTTTAGGAGCAAAAAAAAAAAAATTGATTTGTAGAGTTTTTGAGAGCATTTTTGCAGCAGAAATAAATGCTGAATGCTCCAAAACACTCCTACTAAAATGCTCCTAACACATTTTGTCTAGCTTTTTTTTTTGTTTTCCTACATGTACTGTATAAAACGCTGATAAAAAGTTAACACTAAACGTTCTTAAAATGCTCCTAAAAAAATGCAATTACCAGCATTTTTTTTATCCAGCGTTTTTCCAGCGGTTTTTGAGCTTAAAAAAATGCTAGTATGCATGGACCCTTCAAAAATTGAATCAATATTAAAACATACCAAATTGATGTGAAACTTTTACTTGCTTTTTTCTGCACGGATGCTCAATTCTGGATTAAACATGAAAGCTGGGCACATACCATGAGAGAGCAGGGCACATTACATGGGAGCAGGGCAGATTACATGGGAACAGGGCACATTACATTGTAGCAGGGTCCATTACATGAAAGCAGGGAAAATTACATGAGCTCAGAGCATATTACATGCAAGCAGGGTACATTACATGGGGGAGGGGGCGCTATCACAGCCAGGTCCATGTGTTACTCTGCATGTGTCAATAGTGGGGATGTGAGCTACCGATCAGTTCAGAAACCTTGATCTACTTGATCCTGTGCTGTTAAGTGTACAAATGACATATAATGTGTGCAGACTTCTTCCTCTTATTATATAGCAGTCATAAACCCCATAAATATCATCATCACAATAGAAAAAAAACTATATGGTGTCTCTAATATTATCAGTTTACTATCAGTCCCAGCACAGGGCCTAAGAGGGTAGATAGGGGAAACCAGGATGACAATATGACAATAATAACAGTAGTGTTTGGATTCCTCTATGGTGGATTACTAGACAGCAAGTAAAAGAACTATTCCCATTATTGTTCACGCTATAACTAAGTCAATAGTGTTGTTTTTATTATTACTATGATTATCATCATCATCACCATCACAATGGGAGTAATTCTGTTTAGTAGCTGTCCAGCAAATCATCCACTAGAGAAATCCTCACACTGCTGATATTATTGTCATCCTGCTCTCCTATCTACCCTCTTAAATTCTGTGCTGAGAGTAATAGATGGGTGTGATAATTAGACATATAATGGTCACAGAGGTCTTCTTTTCTATTATAGAGGATTTGCCTGGGGACCTCTTGAGGAATCCTGATTAAGAAACCCTGTCCTAGAGCATTTTTTACTTCTGTTGAAACTTGCCAAACATTGGAATATTTTTCAAAAAGGCAGCATTTTTACAGACAAATGAGGTGTAGGAATGATCACAACAACATGGCGTATCAAATGGAATTTTTTGGGGGGGATCTTTTTTCAGATGCACCAGGAAAAAATATCCTGTTTACTAATCTGTCTCTTTCACTCATTACATGTGGAAAAGATTCATGTGTTGGGTTGTGCTTTGTTATGTTATGATATATTGGTTTGACATTCTGTGGCACTACGATAATCCTAGATGTACTGGTTTGGTTGAGATAGAATTGGAAAATATTCCCCCAAATAATTCCCTTCTTTATTTAGCAGTGCTGTAGGGTTGTTGTGCTTGCTAAAAATGTCTCTGGCCATAAGGTTGCTCTTAGAGGATATCTAAACCCAAGAACAAAAATGTAATATACACTATATTGCCAAAAGTATTGGGACACCCCTCCAAATCATTAGATTCAGGTGTTCCAATCACCTCCATAGCCACAGGTGTATAAAATCAAGTACCTAGGCATGCAGACTGCTTCTACAAACATTTAGAAAGAATAGGTCACTTTCAGGAGCTCAGTGAATTCAAGCGTGGTGCCGTGATAGGTTGCCATCTGTGCAATAAGTTCATTTGTGAAATTTTCTTGCTACTAAATGTTCCAAGGTCAACTGTTAGTGGTGTTATAACAAAGTGCAAGCAACTAGGAACAAGAGCAACTCAGCCACGAAGTGGAAGGCCACGTAAAATGACAGAGCAAGGTCAGCGCATGCTGAAGCACACAGAAGTCACCAACTGTATAAAGAGTCAATAGCTCAAGACCTCCAAACTTCATGTGGCTTTCAGATTAGCAATGGCCGTGTTTGGGTTTGGCAGTTGCCAGGAGAACGGTACTTGCCTGACTGCACTGTGCCAAGTGTAAAGTTTGGTGGAGGGGGGATTAGGTGGGGGGTTGTTTTTTTTTCAGGGGTTGGGCTTGGCCCCTTAGTTCCAGTGATAGAAACTCTTAAGGCATCAGCATACCAAGACACTTTGGACAATTTCATGCTCCCAACATGACTGTGCACCAATGCACAAAGCAAGGTCCGTAAAGACATGGAGGAGTGAGTCTGGGTTGAGGTCAGGACTCTGTGACTGGCCTGCACAGAGTCCTGACCTCAACCCGATTAAAAACACCTTTGGTATGAATTAAAGTGGAGACTGTGAACCAAGCCTTCTCGTCCAACATCAGTACCTGACCTCACAAACGCACGTCTGGAAGAATGGTCAAACATTCCCATAGACACACTCCTAAACCTTGTGGACCCATTCCCAGAAGAGTGGAAGCTGTTATAGCTGCAAAGGGTAGTCCAACTCAATATTGAACCCTACAAACTAAGACTTGGATGCCATTAAAGTTTATGTTTGTGTAAAGGCAGGCATCCCAAAACTTTTGGAAATACAGTGTATTATAGCTTTCCAGTTCCTAGATGTGGTGACTGTATTAATTATCATTGTTCAGGCTAAGAACAGATCAAGTACAGAGAATTCCTATTAATAATGCCAGAAACAGTGTCCTTGTTACTTTATGAGAGCTGAATGTAAAGCTCTGAAAAAAATGTATCTTCTTTCTGTAAACTACTAATCCCCCCATTCCCCATTTAGTGGAGTTATAGAGAGGAAGACATATTGAAAATCCAGTCTGGGTGACAACCATGGCCCCATCCAGTAATACATGAATGAGTGAGTTTAGCCAACAGAAACTGTTTGATTCTCTGGATTACCAGGTAAAAATAAAACACTAATACAGCCACCTCGTCCAGTCTCCAGCATGATGCAATATATTATTTTTTTCTTTTTTGTGTTTAGATACAGTTTGGAACTCTGAACATTTCTATGTTTAGAAGCAATCACAGTTGAAGGAATTTTGGATGAATAAACTGTGTGAAAAGAGATAGGTTGGGACACTGAAAACAGTACTTCATGTAATATAGGGGGATGGTGGTTACACCTAGAGACATTTTATCTCTATGGGTGATTGAGATTACTCTAACGCATGTTCCCATCTCATTATCACAACAGAGACAGGTAGGTCTAAAGCTGGCCATAGATGGTTTGAATCTCTGCGAGTTCGGCAAGGACCTGTCAAGATTCAAACCATCTATGGGTAGGCTGATTGTATTCAAGTCAATTGTTGCGCGACTTTCATATTTCTCATGCAATTATTGCCAGCAGCTATAGCCGATAGCAATAATCACTGTGTTCTCCCAGCAGAGAAGGCTTCCTCCCCACCCCACTGCGCCTCCCCACAAGGTGAACATGATAGCTAACATTGGCTTTGTTGATGGGGGAATTGAGCGACATTCTTTCTTGCAATCTGTGGTTGCAGAAAAGAAAATCACATAATTTATGGCTGGCTTAAGTGTAGTAAGCTAAAGGGAGTCATGGCAGTTGCCCTAGTTTTTCATTACTTCCACTTCTGTATAACAGCATCCTGTATTAAGGTTTAGGCTACATCAGAAA